TACTTATAAACTTTCTGAAAGAGAAGAAAAAGATAAGAAAATTTATGAATTGTTGTTTTGTGATAGGTTAGCAGGTAAATTTGCTACTTTAGATATTTTTATTAACAATTACATCGGTGACGTCAAAGAACAAGTAGAAAGAATAAAAAAGTTTAAACATTATAAAGAAGATTCCAAAGAGGCTTATGAATATATGAAAACAGCGGATAGTCAGTACTTAAAATATTGTTTGTTTCTGTCCAGAACCAAATTAGGAACGGTTGAAATATTATTTGGAAATAAGCAACTCTTTGCCTACATTCAGGGAAGGTTTTTAATATTCGGCAGTATGAAATTTGAATCAATTGAAGATCTTTGTAGTTACATGAAGAAAGAGTATAAATCATTGTAATAAACTTTATTAAAAGTCTTTTCTCATAACAAAGGCATCATCACTAGGATCAGAGTAATAGTTTTTTACTTTGTTGTTTATTTTATAGTTTAATTTTCTATAAAATACCAAAGCCTTAGCGTTAGTACTTCGTACATAGAGATCAATATAAGTATTAATTAAGATTTTGCCATTCTGTTCCATTAATTTCATTAACTCTTGTGCTAATTTTAGTCTTCTAAATGATGGTTCAATAGTAATACATGAAATATGATAATGTGGACTTTTACTGAAAGTATCAAATAGGCCAATAGTGTTCATGAAACCAGAACAAGCTTGTGTTTTTATATGTCCTAAACAGAATCCTAAATTTTTATTAGCACTTAGTTTTGACTTAACTACCATCTGATTACAATCAACTGATTGGAGATATTTTAGGTAGTAATTCATATCAAAACATTCAGTGTAACTATCTAAATTTATCAGATTAATCTTATAAAGATCTCTTATTATCATTGGTTCATAATAATACATCAGCAAATTAACAATTTATGTTTTTTTTTAAATTAAAAAAAATTTTAATAAGCACTTTTATTTAAAATTCTTAATGCACTTAACAGAGATAGCATTATAATCAAGATATCTAATAGAATAGTGAATGATTTTTTTAGGTTCAAATAATGAAACTATTCTAATCACATAACTATCTTTTATTCTGTTTTCTTTATTAAAGATATTATATGCAAAGGTTCTAACAGCTTGTGCAGTATGTTTGCAACGGTAAACAAATCTAGATTTAAAGATATTAATTACTAAATTACTATCAATTTGAATGATCCCCCACAAGTGGTTTATGTTTTTTTCTGAGTGATTTTCTAAACTTTCTGATTTACATTTTGTAAGAAAGTGTGCACTTAAATCATGATTGTTCCTACTTGGATGAATAATTCCTTTCTCTCTCCCCTCGTTTAAAATATTAATCCAATTTCTATCTTCTGTTTTACCCCTTTCAATAATAAAATCACTTTCTTGTTTACTATAAGGTGTTCTAGTTTTTTTACTTCCTCCTTTATTTTGATTAATATCTTCATCTATTAATGGAATATTCTTATCATTTATACAAACTAATTCAGCTATCATAAAGGCTCGTTGTTGTAATAATCTAAGTTCAGTAAAATTTTTTCTTTCGATAAAATCTGAATCATTTAATATTTCGGTATTAGACATTATCGTATGATAATTTTTAAGTTTTTCAGTTTTGTATGCCTGATGACTTAATCTACTCAAATTAAACTCGTCTTCATCTTTTTTAAGACCTCCTGTTTCATTATTAGATGCATTTTCAACATTCTCTTTACCTAGCTCACTTCTTTTAGAAGAAATAAAAGTTTCATTAGTTCTATATTCGCTATTATTCTCATCACTAATACTTAAATTCAAATTTTCAGTTGTTTCTTTAGTGTTAAATTGCTTTCCATTATTATCATTACTCTGACTAACCATAAGGGGTTTGAATGATTTTTTTAATTTATAATAAAATCTTATACTCAAAATATTTGTAATGATGTTATAAATTAAAACTAACTAGTACTATCTTAATTATTAAATTAACTAATGTCATTTTTTATTAAATTTAATTTTCTATAAAGGTTTTATTTGATTTCAAATAATTAAAAATAAAATAACTAGTTTTATAAATAAACTAGTTAAACTTTCAAATTAACTAATGTAATTTTTAATTTAATTTTATTTGAAAGTTTAATTTGACGTCAAATAATTTAATTTTAATTAAAAAAAATGAATTTTATTAAACGTAATTTTCAATCATTTGAGGCGTGTAATAAACAACTCCCTCATTAGATACAGTGCTTATCTCAACATTATTAGAATCAAGTTCATCTTTCATAACATTTCTAAGTATCTTTATAAGAATCTTTATAGTGGTATCTTTATCAGTAAAAGAACTAAAATTTTCTTCTAACTGACTGTTTACTGTTTCCTGTCCTGAACCAATTGAATAAGCTTTATAAGAAACACTTGAACCTGATGGATCAATACAGAATAGTTTTGTTTCTTCATTTTCATGAGAAGCTAATAGCATCGATACACCAAAAGGTCTACTATAAATCTTTCTATGAATGTCACTTTCTGAGAACTGTAAAGCCATTGCACAAATTTCATTTTTTAACTCTTTAATAGGCATTTGTTCACCAAAAATTGACTCGTGATTAATACAAAGACTCATACATCTATCTATGATGGTTGGTGCATCAGTAATAATACCTGAACATCCCATCAAAATCTTATCATAAATTTTAAAATGTTTCTTAACACTTTGTGGTATCTGGAGTTTATTAGTTAACTTTCTTTCAGATACAATGATCACACAATCATCAAGCTTAACACCAATTGTTGTGGTACCCAAGTTAACTGTAATCATTGCATACTCAACTTGCTTTATTCTTCCTTCAGTATCATATGATGTTACACTGTCACCAGAACTCATTTGAGGGTTAAAATTTTATTAAAGTTCAAATAAACCAGTTTATTATGAAGATAGATACTCAACTCTTGAATATATAGTTGGGTGGTAGCTACTAAAAGCATTGTATAGCCAGGTTGACTTCAATAATTCATTTGAGTGTATTGTTATTGAAAATAAAACTTTGCCTAATTCTATTCCAAATCCTTGTCTCTTAGCAATCAAATCTGCATTTATTTCAGCATTCTGGCTAGAAAGTTTATGAAATACAGAGTAATATCTGTTAATCAATGCGCTGTAAAGTTTTAGTAAAATCAAGAAACAACCAATGTCAGACATGTGCTCGTCTTTATAACCACGTGGCAGTTTTAAAAATATAAAAGTCACAGTAGCCAATTCAGCTAATTTCATTAGCAATAGAACAATTGCTTTTTTAAATAAGGAATAGTCTTTAGAATGACCTATTTCATGCATCAAAACTGATTCAAATTCCTTATTAGTAAAATCATTATGATCACCATATATTTCTATGTGTTCATATTCTCCCCAGCCTACTAGAGCTGCATTTATTGAATCTGATGGTTTTTTCTCTTTATAAACACTATTTTCTAATCCCCTGCTTTTCAAAAAGTCTACAACTTTGGGTGAAAATTCTTTAATGTTAACTTTTTTAAATTCACTAAGATCAATATCTTCTTGTATGAAGAATTCACAACAACCTTTTATAATGAATGCCAGGTAAAATGCAAAGATTATATTTACTCTAAAAATTGTCATTAAATTATAGATTAGTATAATTATAAAAGGAAGAAGTATCGAGAATAGAAAAATATAACAGGTTATGTTAAAGAGTGGTCCTGATACTTCTATTCCAAAAATGGAAAATAAGTTGTTTTTATAAATTATCGCCAATGAAAGTGTGATAAACAAGCAGACAAAATTAAGTTCTTTTCTTTCAACAACATCACTATCTGTTGGAATAATTGTTAAACGTCTGTCACACAGATGCATCAATTTGGATCTTATTCTTACATTAAAAAAGACATAAGCTAATATTCCTAATCCTATCATTGAAAATATTTCACCTTTTACTTTTCGAGCTCTTGATTTGGTTGCTTTTCTCTGAGAAGGAATATATTCTTTGTCTTTATTTGCTAATTTTTTTGTAGCTGAATTATTTTTCAATCCTTTAGTTTTATCAATTAAATGTTTATGGAAATAAGTGATTGAAAAAAACTCATAAAATAAGATTGAAATTGATACTAGAAAGGACAAATAGATAATGTGGCTATACTTTAATTTCATTAATTAGTAAACAAAAAAATTGTTTTTTAGTTAATTAGAAACAAAACAAAATAAACGTAAAAACAACATTATTTAATTTTAATTTAAAAGTATATTTCTTGTTTTTTTTTGAATTTAAATTTAAAACAAAACAAAAATAATCATTAAATTATATTGTAAAAGTTTTTATTCTTTAAAGTTTTTTATTTATATTTAAACAGTAAAGGATAATTATTTTTTATTGTCTAATTAATACACGTTTTCATTAATTTCATTATACTTCTTTTAAATATTTGACAATTCTTTATTATTATAGTTAATCAGTATAAGTTATGAGAATTAAATAAATTATTTCAACATGTCATCATAAAAGAAAAAAATAATATCAAAAATATTTTAATTAAATCTTATCCGATTTAAGATTATATACTTCTATTCCCACACCTGAATTTTTATTAATCATTTCTTTTAAAGAAAATAAAGTCTTACCTACCGCAAAAATACCTACTGTTTCAATTTCAATTCCAACTATTTCATCTTTCTCAAATTCTTCAATTTTATCTTTATACTTAATAATACCTGGTATCATTACATCTGCACCTCTATTTAATGGTCCTAAAGCACCCTCATCTAACAAAACTGTTTTGTGTAATTTTCGATCAAAATTTTCTACCGTGGGATATACTTTATTAAAATACTCAAAATATAAAGCCTTTCCCTCATTATTTTTAATTATTTTTACTCTGTTCTTTAAAGTAACCTGCGTATAACTTAATTTTAAATCTAAACACACATAATTTAACTTATTAAGTTGTTTTATATCTTTTTTAGACATTTTATTACTTTGCTTTATTTCAACATTCTTAAAAAGATTTTTCATTAAAACTTAATTAATTTTTCTTTAATTTAACCCATAAAATAAAATGGCAGATGAAAGTACTCTTAAATCAAATGTATTTACAGATGAAGGAAGATTAGTCCAAACTGAATTTGCTATAAAAAATGTTGCAAAGGCTGGTACAATAATGGGGATGCAATGCACAGATGGTGTTGTACTTATTGGTCTTAATTCCGGTAATACTGTACAAAATGAAAAGATATACAAATTAAATGACAACACCTTTTGTGCAATAGCGGGTTTGTTTGGTGATGCAAATAGACTAATTAAATATGCAAGAAAGGTATCATGTGAACAGAAAAGACGTTATAATGAAACATTAAAGACATCAGTAGTTTGTAAGTTTGTAGCTTGGAAAAAACAATATTATACACAGAATGTTGGTACAAGACCTTTTGGTGTATCAATTCTTTACGCTGGATCAGATGAAACGGGTTACAAATTATACGCAACAGATCCAAGTGGTACTATTAATTTGTGGAGAGCTGTTTCAATAGGACAAGATAGTGATGGTATTAATTCAAATTTAAACAACTTTATATCTGATGAGTTAGTTAGTATGGACGAAGCTATAACACTTCTTCTAAAAGTATATTCTAAAGTAAAAGAACCAACAATTGAATTAGCTGATAAACTTGAAATTTTAAAATTTTCTAATGAAAAAAAAGAGTATCTAACTAAAGACATGGTTGTCCAAATACTACGAGATAATGAACTTGTAACTGTTTAATAAACACTTTTTTAAATATTTGTCGTTTATAAATTTCCCTCCATTTTCAAGGTTTTATTCAGAGAATTTTTCATTAGAAAAACATGAAGCATTTTAAAACCTTTAAGAATGCATACCTTTTGGTAGAAGATAGCAAGAATAGGTGTCAACCGTTCTACAAAGAATATAAGAAGAACATCCCAAATCTAAATCTAGAGAGTCCTATGTTTTCGTGCCCATTTGTGAAGTTTAAACCAACTAACTCACCCAAAAAGTCATTGGATGCCTATAGAAAGAAGCAACCTAAGCCTGGTTATTGTGAGATTTGCTTTATGAGCTTTGAGGTTTATGATGAACACATTCTTACGAATAATCATCTTAATTTTGCTGAAGACAAAAACAACTATAAGGCAATAGATAAATTCATTGTAGAGCATAGTAATTTCGAAATTGATACTTTTGGTTGTACCGATAGTCCGAGTGCCAGTATTGCCTATCTGTTTCAATCAAAAGAACAAGGTTCTGATAAAAACAGTTATGTTGAAATAAGTGAAGTTAATTCAGATTTTGATACTGATACATCATTTTTAAATTTTATTGATTTTAATCCGAATTTGAATAAATGAATTTATTTTTAAATAAAATATTTTTACAAAAAGTATAATATTTTTAAAATTCTATTAAATGTAAAATAATATTTTTATTAAAAAAGTAAAATTAATATACTTTTTTTAAAATTTTATTTAATAATACATCTAAACACTAATTAATTTTAAATATTTAATAAATAAACGATAGGTATTTAATATTATAAAATTTTATTTAACAAAGGATGTTTTAATAGAAAATAATTGACAATTAAAATTTAAAATTTTAAAAAATTATTTTCTAATTTATTATAAATGGCTCCTAAATTAAAGAGTGATACAAGAAAGTTTGACAATACAGTTTGTGATACAGTGATTAGTAGAATAGAGTTTAGAATATTAACAGAAGAAGAGATATCGAAGTTATCAGTGGTAGATATTACATCCAAGACACTTCATGATATTAAAACTAGACAACCCTCACCTAATGGTCCTTTAGATTTAAAACTTGGTACATCAACATCAGCCAATATATGTTCTACTTGTCATGGAGATATACAAAATTGTCCTGGTCATTGGGGACGTATTAAGTTGGTTGTACCAGTATTTCACATTGGATTTTTAAGCCACACGGTGAATTTATTAAACATGATATGTAAATCTTGTTCTAAGTGCCTGTTACCACTAGAAAAAAGACTGATTTATCATGATGTCACTAAGTTTAAAACCAAGATTAAAGATAATTGCAAGCTAATAAAGATTTGTTCTTTTTGTAACAGTCAAAATGGAATAGTCAAAAAGATCAATTTTAGAATTTATCATGAAATCAAACCTATTACAAGTAAAAATGAGACTACCACCACATCAGTATTTGAAGAATTATCACCATACATTGTTTATAGTTTATTTGAGAATATTCCAATTGAGGATATGAAATACTTATTTCTTAAACAAAGTCCTGTTAATTTACTAATAAAACAATTAGCTGTTCCCCCTAGCTGTATTAGACCATCAGTAGATCTTGCTGAAAAGGGATTTAATGAGGATGATATTACTGTCAAATTAAGTGAAATTGTGAATGTAAATACAATTATTGAACAAGGAATACGTGGTGGAATGGCATTAAACACAATGAATGATGATTGGGATTTCTTACAACTACAAATATCTTTATTATTTAATTCTGATTTACCAACAGTTTCTAATATTGGAACTAATGCTACTCCTATCAAAGGATACATTCAAAGATTGAAGGGTAAATTCGGAAGATTTAGAATGCATTTATCAGGTAAGAGAGTTGACTTTTCAGGAAGAACTGTAATATCACCTGATCCTAATTTAAGTATTGATCAAATTGGGGTTCCTAAAGAAATTGCTAAAGAAATGACATTTCCTGAAAAAGTAACTGATTTTAATATTGATTTTATGAGAAAATTAATTGAAAATGGTCCTGATAACTATCCAGGTGCTAATTACATTCTTTATCCTGATGGTAAGAAAATTTTCCTAAAATATGCAAGAAAAAAGAAAGTGTCAGTTGGTGATATAGTTGAGAGACATCTTTTGGACAATGACATTTTATTGTTTAATAGGCAGCCTTCACTGCATAGAATTAGTATAATGGCACATAGAGTTAAGATTCATAACAACCAAACATTTAGATTTAATGTATGTGATTGTACTCCCTATAACGCTGATTTTGATGGTGATGAAATGAATATACACTTTCCTCAGAATTATGAAGCTAAGGCTGAAGCTGAGATACTCATGGGAATTAGTAATAATATTTGTACTCCAAGAAATAATGAGCCTTTAGTTAGTCCAACACAAGACTTTATAACAGGTTCATTTATTTTAACTTCCAAAGATAGATTTTTTACAAAGAAAAAATTTTTTCAGTTGCTTTGCTATATTCAATCATCAACTGAGCTTATTGGACGTATTGATATTAAACCAGCTATTATTGCACCAGTAGAATTATACACAGGAAAACAATTGATAGAAGTAATTGTACAAGTATGTTCAAGTAAATACAACAAAACAATAACACTTAAATGCAAGAATAGAGCACCCACACCCAAATATAATACAGGTGCATCTGAACCAAGAGAATTTTACATGTTAAAAAATCACTATATTTATGGAGTATTAGATAAATCAGTAATTGGATCAGATAATAGAAAAGGATCTCTTATATACCAAATGATGAAAATTTCTAATAAAGCTGTAGTTCAATTAATGAACAGTATTGCTAAACTGAGTGTTAGATTTTTGATGGAAAGAGGTTTTTCTATTGGACTTGATGATGTTTATCTAACTGAGAATGTAACTGAGGGAAAGAATGAAATAGTGTCTGAGAATGTTAATGAAGTGTTTAAAATACTTGATTCTAATAAAGAGTATAGTGATACAGATGAGCTCAAAATAAGTTCATATCTTAATAAGATTAGAGAATTATGTGGTACCACTTGTATTGCTAATTTATCAACTAAAAATGCACCAATTGTTATGCAGGAATGTGGATCAAAGGGATCAAAAATTAATGTAAGTCAAATGATTGCCTGTGTAGGACAACAAATTATTTCAGGTAAAAGAATATCTGATGGGATGATTGATAGAACATTACCCCATTTTAATAAGTATGATAATTCACCATCAGCTAGAGGTTTTGTATTTAATTCATTCTTTACCGGACTCACTTCATATGAATATTTTTTCCATACAGTTTCTGGTAGAGAAGGTTTAGTAGATACAGCAGTTAAAACAGCAGAGACTGGATATATGCAACGTAGGTTAATGAAGGCACTTGAAGATCTTTCTGTATATTATGATTCAACTGTAAGAAACAGTCATAAAAATATTATCCAGTTTGTGTATGGTGAGGATGGTCTTAATCCGCTTTTTTATGAGTCTGAAATGTATGAAAATATTTTTAATTCAGTAAGAGAGTATAATTGTGATGAAAAATTTGAGAAAAATTTTTTTAAATTTTATTTAGAAAGTTTGATTGAAGAACTAGGAAATGAAAAGTTAAAGACAGATGTTAAAGAGTATCTAGAAACTAAGTATACTAATGATCACGTGTGTAAACAAGTATTAGTTAATTATTTCAATGAATTAAAAAAATATCTTAAGAATATTTCAATTGAGCCAGGCACAGCAGTTGGTGCTATTTCCGCACAATCCATAGGAGAACCAGGTACTCAAATGACTCTTAAAACATTCCATTTTGCTGGTGTAGCATCAATGAACATTACATTAGGAGTACCTAGATTGAAAGAAATAATTAATGCAAATACTAAAATAGCCACTCCTATAATCAATATAGTTGGAATTCAGTCAGAGAGTGAGGCAGTTGATATTAGAAAACGTATTGAGAAAGTTTTTATAAAAGATGTTTGTAAGTCAATTGAAGCTCAGATTCAACCAAGTGGTTGTATTAAGTTAATTTTTCAAGTTGTTGGAGACATCAATTCAATTATAAGTGTTGTTTGTAGAAAGTTTAATGTTAAACAAGATTCTTTTGATAGCTTTTGTCACTTTATTGACAATCCTAATGAAAATTCAATTTTTACAGTAGAAAAGATTAAAAGACAGATTTTAGATATTCAAATATCTGGTTATAAGAATATTAATAATGTTTTTATTAAAAAAGAGTCTGATTCATATTCTCTCATTGTAGAAGGTATTGATTTTTTTGAAGTTCTGGGGACAAGAGGAGTAAATCCATATACGACTGTTACAAATTCTATTTTAAGTATTGCTGATGTTTTAGGAATAGAAGCAGCAAGAAATGCAATAATTAATGAAATTGAGTATACAATGGGAAGTCATGGTATTAAAATAGATCAAAGACATTTAATGTTACTGGCTGATACAATGACTAATAACGGAAGTGTACTTGGTATTACTAGATATGGAATTGGTAAGATGAAAGAATCTACTTTAATGTTGGCTTCATTTGAAAAAACAGCAGATATAATTTTTAATGCAGCTTATGAATGTAAAAAAGACCCAATCAGTGGAACAAGTGAAAGTATAATTTTAGGTAAAAAGGTTGGTTTAGGAACTGGATGTATGGAAATACTAGAATAAATTCAATTTTTAAATTATTTATCATTAGATTTGCTTTATAATTAAAAATAAATATTTTATTATGTTAAGAGAATTTCTTAAGAAATCCTTAAAAAGTATGATAACAGAAAGTTTTAATGAATTATTTGACTCGTTAACAATAGAAGATCTTATTTATAATTTTTCTTATTTTACTAACATAACATTAACATACGTTAATCTTTATATTTACACTGATGAATTAGAATTTATTAGTTTCTTCTATCATCTTAAGAGAATTATTTATCCAACAGCTTTTGTATTTTCTTGTTTGGTTACCATTCAGTTCTGGTCTTTATTTTTTATAAATCCTTATTTAGTGAAGAAAAATTTTAACGGTAATATTACATTATACATAATATTTGATGAATTTGGAGTGCATTTATTCCCACCTATTTATTTACATCTAGAAAGAACTGATTTTAAATTAAAATGGTCTTTAAGAGATATAAGGATGATTTTTACCTTCTTTGTTTTTTATTTCATAATTTTAGAATTTCTTTATGTTTATAAGAATTACGTTGTTTATAATTTCTTTAAAGAAATTTCATTTCTTTCTAAACTCATTTGGTTAATAATGGTTCAATTAACAGCTTATTCTGTTTATTATATAAATATTAGACTGGATGATGTTTTTTCTTAATAAAATTTTTACTTAAATTTTATCGTTAATTTTTAATGAGAGATTTAAAATACCACGAAAAGAAACTTTTAAAGAAAGTTAATTTAACAGAATGGAAAACAACTAACACTACTAAAGAACAATTGGTGACAAGTAAATATTATTTACATTCAAGAGATGAGTATGTTTATTACAATAGAATTGTTGGAATGATAAGAAAATTAGCGGAATCACTTTCAAGACTGCCTCCAAAGGATGCTACTAGAAATTTTATAACTAAAGCTCTACTTAACAAATTATATGAAATTGGAATTATTGATCAAAAACTTTTAAGTGAGTGTACTAAAGTAACCGTTTCATCGATTTGTAAGAGAAGACTTCCTATGGTTTTAACTTATAAGAAAATGATACCTAATTTTAAAGATGCTGATAAATTTGTACAACAAGGACATATTGTTTTTGGTACCAAGGTTTGTAGAGAACCATCTGTTTTGATTAAAAGAGGAATGGAAGATTTTATTAAATGGAGAGAAGATTCTAAGATTAAAAGAAAGATTGACGAATACAATGGTGAATTAGATGATTTTTAATTTTTATTCAGTTAATTTTAATTTCTTAATTTGGACATCATCATTAAATAATTTTGAACTTATTTCTTTTATGAGATTTTCTATTTCATCACTAACTAAATCTTTAACATTAATTTTTTCAAATAATTTTGTCTTACTTTCTTGTAGTATTTGTGTGAATGAATTCTTATTTGATCTGTTTATAAACTCATTTAAAGCATCAACTATTTTAGTTTCCTTTAAAGTAACTAAATTTTCTCGTTGTAACATTTTTAAGAAAATATCATTCATTGTAATTGTTTTAGAGACACTAACAGTCGCATCTGATTTTTTATCTACTTTTCTAGTAATTCTAATAAAATCATTAGGATTGGCAATTTTATCTTCTACAAATGCTTTTAAACTATACCTGTTAAGATTTTTTTCATTATCCATTTCTACTTTTAATCTTATTAGTGGTAAAAGGTCGTTATTTTTTTCTCTTTGAATTTTACTTAACATTAAATTAAGTTTTTCTTTAATTTGATCTTCAATATTACTTCCTGTTATTTTAATGGCATCTAAAATGAAGGATCTGACAGTTTTTAATTCTTTTCTTGTGATTTTCCATTCTGAATCAATAAATTCTAAAAGGTAAGAATATTTAGCACCTGTTTCATCTAATGACAAACTTGTTCTAATTGAACTACCTACTTGAATAACATCTAAGTTTTTTTCTGTTAGTTTAATACTTGCGTGTTCATGACCATAAATTGCTAAGTTAAACCATTCTGGAATAAATTCTAAGGGAAGATATTCTTCATTTCTAAAAACTCTATTTTGATGTACTATGAGAATGTTGTAATATTCATCTGAATCAGGTCTATCAAATATAACCTTATTTTTAGTAAACATTCTATAAAGACGCCTATCTTTAATGTATCCTAATGGATAGAGTGCTATCTTAACACCACTCTTTTCTATTAATATTGGTTTTATAATAATCTCATCACTTGTTTCAACTTTCCCTACATAATTAATAAACTTAGCACTATTAAGAATATCCAGTGGTGATACTGAATTATGTCCACTGGGGTCATCATGATTACCATGGATTGAAATAATTGGCATTCGAATATTTACATCTTGTTGATCTTTATTTAAAAATACGTTAGTTTGAAATGATCTATTTGGTTCTTGTGTGTTTTTAAATATCACTAAACTATTCTCTCCAAGGCAGTTTTCTGTTAACAAATTAACTGTTTTATTGTAAGTATTTCTACTTGGTTTGTTATAATGAAATAAGTCTCCCCCTTGCAAAATAAAATCAACATTTTCGTCATTTGCTTGCTTAAGTATTTCTTGAAATGTATTGAAAGAGTCGTCTCCTCTTATAATATCTGTTTCATTATATCCTAAGTGATTATCTGATGTTATTAAAATTTTCATTAAAATTCCTATTAATTTTTTTGCTTAAAATTTTATTTAAACTCCACATGATACTCCATTCTTTCTTTTATCACTTGCAGCTATAATTTTATTGCCTTGATTTTTATCAAAAATAGCAGTTATTGCCTGTACTGAAGTAAAAGTAGTATTTTCATCTGAAAATTCAACATTGTGTCCAAGTTGCCTTAATTCATCAGCTAGTTGTTTTGGAAAATTAAATTCTACAAACGTTTTAGGTGGAAGTAGTTGATCATGAACTCTATTAAATGAAATTGCATTTTCAAGTGGCATTTTAAGGAATAAGTGGTAAAACAATGTTAATAATATCGATGTTGGTATTCTTGTTCCGCCAGCTGCACCTATTGAAATTATTTCTTCTCTGTTTTTATTTTTTTTAACAAAGATTGTTGGTGACATTGATGAAAAGGGTCTTTTAAGTGGACCAAGATTATTGGATGTACTTGTATTATCTAATTCATAGGCATTTATAAAGTCTGGATGCATGAAGTCATCAATTGTATTGTTCAATAAAACACCGTACTTTTTATTAAGAATCATACTACCAAATTCTAAATTCACAGAAGTTGTTAAAGAAACAACGTTACCCTCTTCGTCAATAACATTTAAATGTGATGTTCCATGATCTTCTTTAAATGGTAAAACTTTATGAGATTCTTTACCAAGTACACAATCATACTTGATAGAATTTGCTGTTTCTTTTGCTAGTTTATCACTTAATATTTCTGACACCGCTAATCTCCAATCTGCTTGAAAATCAGGATCTCCCAATTTACCACGTCTTGAAAACATAAATTTAAATATTTCTATCATCAAGTGATAAAAATAACACAATGATTTCTTAGACTTAATTATGTTTAATTTAGATTCATCAATATTTTTTATAACATTTAAGGCATAACTTATAAACACACCTGAAGAAGGTGTATTTGTTGTGTATACATTATATTCATTAAAGGTGGTTTTTATAACCTCTCTTTCAACTGCTTGATAATCTTTAAAATCTGTTAAATCTACCTTTCCGCCGTTTTTATTAATAAAATCAGCCAACTCTTCTGCTATTTCTCCACTATAAAAGGATTCGGGATCTTTTGAAATAATTTTTAAGGTTTTCCCTAAATTTTCTCTTTTGATTACATCACCTATTTTTACTAGCTTATTATCTTTAACAAATGTTTCTTTTAATCCTTCATCCTTAAAAATATCTTTCTCATTCTTTATTAATTTTTCTAATAAATTTTTGTGTGCTTTAAACCCGTTAAAACACAAATCAATATTTTCCTTAAATAATTCTTCCCACTTTAACTTTCCATATTTTTTGTGCATTTTCATGAATCCTTTCAGTTCACCTGGTATACAAACTGCAAGACCTCCCTTTTTAGCCAATTCAGGACTTTTTGAGTAGTCAGATAAACGAATTTTTCTAGGTGCTGTTTCTCTAAAATCTATCATTGTAAATTCTTCATCACCACCTTTTTTTATTAACCCAAATCCACCACCTCCTAAACCGGCTGAATATGGATTAACAATTCCAATTGCAATGGCTGTTGCTATTGCAGCATCAATTGCATTACCTCCCTTTTTAAGTATATTTAGTCCTATTCTACTAGCGTGCTCTGACTCTGAACTAACTGCCATTTTACTATAAATTTGTTCTGCTTGTACTTCTTTTAATGGAAATAACATTTCAACTGAAACCAATAATATTCCGTTTAACATCTCCCAAAATATTTTACCCATCTGTTTAAATATTTAAATATTTATTTTTGTATTAAGATATTTACAAATTAAAGTAAATTAATTATTATCGATAGAATTATATATCGTGATTTTTATAACTAATTTTATTTCTTATTCATATCAAGTAGATTCATTTTTTCTTTTGAAATATCATCTTCTTTTGGAAATTGAACAAAATCATATGCTAGATCATAAAAAACTGGTCCTAATGGCATTCTTTTAAATGATTTAAATGTAATTCTTCTTTCTAGCTCATCAATCAATACCTGTTTCATAGTTTCATTATCAATTTTAAGATTTTGTAATTGATTTCTATACTTTTCAAATAAACTTCCCAAATTTTCAGGTAAATTGATTTCTTTTTTAAAGTGCTTTAATGATTTCAATATTAATTGTAAATCATTGTAAGTCTCACTAACAAAATCAGAAGTATAATAATTTTCATTTAAAAACTTTTGTAAATTAGCAGTTGTTTCGTTAAGATTTCTAAATAAAAAAACTGCCTGAGAGTATTTAAGATCATCTTCTTGTAAAATTGATTCTAATTTCTGAAAGTTTTTGTTAAATTCCTGTATCTTTCCAATTAGGAGAGTGTTAAATATAAAATCATTAACCTCAAATCTATTTTCTAAAAATTTTGATAATAAATTTTCTGATTCAAATAAAACCTCAATGTCGTTCCATGTGAATGATATTTTATGATCATCAAAATCATACTGATCATCGTTAATCTCATAAATGTCTGTCATAAACGTGCTATAATCACATAAACTATCCCTTATTTCAATTAAATCATCAATATTAAGACATTTTCTATGCTTATCAACAATACATTGAATATATTTCGAATATAAGCGTGAAAATTCATCATCTTTTTTAGCTAACAACCTTAAGTTCTTTAAAAGATTGCTTATCGTACCAACCTTCTTATAAATAGCTAAATTAGATTCCAATTTAAATATAATATCTTCTTTCTTATGTTTGTTATTAAACTTTTTATAACCCTTCATACTTACGTTTCTAGATATTACTGAATACCCATGCCTAATTCTATTCTCCTCTATTAATTGTATTTTGTCCATAAAATTTTTATAAAAAAATTATCATAAAATATAGTTTATGGATCAAAACGTACGATTAGATGGAAGACAATCTAATGAGCTAAGAAATACTACTATTAAAAAAATAAATGAACAGGTTATATTTTCACAAGGATTAACTTCAGTTAGAGTATTTACTGAAAAATCTGATAAGTTTGAAGTTAAAATATTAGACAGTGATGATATTGATAGAAAAGTTTTTGAAATGAAATTGAAACTAGAACGTTTATTTACACCTTTAATTAACCAAACTGAAGTAGCAGTAAATCTTTACGTAATTCAAGACAATGGAAGTTTGTTTTCATCCCTTGTTAACGCAATTACAATTTGTTTCTGTTATTCAGGAATCCATCTTAATGACTTTGTGGTTGGAATCACTCTTAATCAAAATTTAGATCTTTGTTTAATAGAAGAAAAAAAAGAAGATTACCTTAATTTAGTTTACAGTGTTAAAAATGATAAAATTCTATATTTAGAATCAGTTGGTAAAATATATTCAGAATTTCTTGTTGAGAGAATTGAAACGGGAATTAAAGCAACAAAGGTTTTACACAATGATTTAGTCAATAAAATTTTAATTAACTAACTAACTACATCCTCTACAACCACAGTAATTGCATTCAGTAAAACTTTCTATCTTTTTAAGACATTCACTAGGAATTCTACAAATACACACTTTATCTTTATCTTCCTTGTTGTTTATTATACATCTAATGCAACATAATTTTTGATACCCGTTAATCTTCCATTGATTAATCAAATCTTTACTTATTTTATTCTCATTAATTAACTTTTTATAATCACTTTCACTAATAAACCCTCCATTATACCACTGAAAAACTCTTTTTGTTTTAAAAGTAGTTAATCTTAAAATTTCTTTTAATTCTTCTCTAACATTCTCTTTTCTACACAATAAACTCTTTAATTCTTTGTCTATGTCATCTATAAATTTATTTAATTCATTTTTCTTTTGAAACATATTAATTGTATTAAATTTAAAATCAATTTAATAAATTACCCTCTAATGAAAAAAAGTTTAAAAGTTAATAAAATAAATGATTTAGAAAACAAACCAGTAATAAACAGTATGTTAGCAAGAACAATAATTGGATTCTTTATGATTATTGTATTTGTAATTATTATAACACTAGACAAATCCTTTTTAATAGGGCTTGTGTGTATAATAAGTATTAATCTTACTTATGAAATGATAATGCTGACTCGTAAAACAGGCTTTAGTTATGTTATTAACCCGCTTGTTATTATATTTGTCAGTGTTATAAATTTCCTTCAACATGCATATTCTGCTTTAATAATGGCTTTTCCCTACTCAAGGAAATTTTTACCAATTGTTCGATTTAGAATTTGGTCATATTTTAGTTATGTTCTATTCTTTGTTTACTTCGTTAAATCACTTAAAAAGAAATGTTTAAAAAGACAATTTGAGATCTTATTAGCAATACATGTTGTTCCTTATTTGACTGGCACTACCTGTAGATTTGCAATTATGAACATTATTCAAGGCAAGTATTATTTGGTTATGCCTGCCAGTGTTGTTATTACTAATGACATTGGAGCTTACTTCTTTGGAAAATTTTTTGGTAGAACAAGTTTATTTTCTTTAAGTCCCAACAAAACAATTGAAGGATTTATTGGTGGTGCTATTAGTTCTTTAGTTGTGAGTTTAATATTTAGTTATTTAAAATTAAACCAGAATTTTTTACCAGATGAAATTGATGGTTATATTAAGTCTGATTATATACTTCCTTTTGTCTATTATAGAATTCCTCAGGTTTATATAATGAGTCTTTATTTTTTTATTGGATCTTCAATTTTAGCACCTTTTGCTGGGTTTCTGGCTTCTGCCGTTAAAAGATTTTATCGGACTAAAGACTTTTCAAATGTCTTTTTAATTCATGGTGGATTTACTGATAGGTTTGATTGTCATATTATGATGATATGGCTCACGTACTTTTTCCTTAAATTATTAAAAGGTGCAAAAATCTCACAAGCACAGGCAATTACCCATTACTTGATAGAGAACTTTACTGATGAAGAAGTTTTAGAAATTATTAAAACTTTAAATTCAAAATTAAATTGATTAATTTTTATTAAATTTATTGTTTTTTATCTGCTTTAATATTTCTAATTAAAATTTTTTTTGTAAAATCTTTACCCATGAATTTTTACAGGAATAAAAAAATTTTAATTACAGGTGGATCTAAAGGAATTGGTAAAGAGATTGTTGAAATGTTATTAAGATCAAATGCCAAGGTTTATTCAATATCTAGAACAACTTCAGGGATTAAAAATGTAAGATTTACTGAAATTTTAATGGATTTAACTGATATTAAAACTAAATCACTTGATTTACTTAAAGATTGGAAAGAGATTGAATTTGATGTGCTTATTAACAATGTTGGTAGCAATCCTGGTATGAAAAAATTTGAAGAACATTCAATGGAAGACATTGAAAAACATTTGTTTTTGAATGTAACTGTAAATTTATTTACTATGAAACTTTTTAAGTTTAAGAAGGTTGTTTTTATTAATTCTGTTTTGTCAATGACAGGTGTTCCTCTTAATTCTATTTATTGTGCCTCAAAATCATTTATTTTTACTTTGAATGAAAGTTTAAGAAGAGAAGGTGTAGATACATTAATAATATGCCCATACAAAGTTAATACAGAGTTGTTTTCTGAAGTTAATGATTTTATGGTTCAAGATAAAAAGAATGTTGCTCTTGAAGTTGTCACAGGTATTGAGGCAAACTCTAAAACAAAATATCTTCCTAGTATAATGAGAATATATCCATTCATTGATTCAATCATACCAGTGTGTCTTTTAGATAGACTTGTTAATTGGATATTTTCTAAAATTGTTAAACCTAAAAATGATTAAACTTTTTTATAATTGTTTTTGTTTCTAAAACTGGAAATTAAAAATAAACTACTTTAATTCATATATGATAGAGGATTATACAAAGAAATATTTTAAATATAAAAATAACAACAGTGAGAGGATTGATTTAGAAGAATTAACTACCAAAGAACTAAAAAGAACATTATGTGTTTTGGATGATAAACTAAACTTATTAAATAAAAATCTAGATTTAAATACATTACCAACTTTTCAAGAGAACAACAGACTTGAATTAGAAATTAATGAGATTAAAGTATCAATTGAAGAATTAGTTAAATTGTACATAGAAAAATTAAATGAATTAACTAATAAATTAGAAAATGACTTATTAAAAACAACAATCACTAATTACTTTGAAAGTCTGATTGATAAGACAAAATTAAAATATCAAACAATTATATTTGAATATCTTAAAAAGATTGAAAAGGTTAATGAATTTAAACCGGTGCTTGAAGAAATCCAGGATATTGAAATTAGCTTTACTAATCCTAAAATAGTAACACAATTTCAAAGTAATCAACTAATTATGGCAAGTAAATTTGATAATACCAGACTTAATACATCTCTTCTTGGGATTGGTAAAATATTAACTGAGCTTAAAATGGCAATTAAATCACAAGAGCATTCAATCAATAATTTAGATGAGTATTTAGAGAGTGCTAACAGATACATGGAAGTTGCTAATAAAGAGATTAAAAGAATTCCTGACTTTTGGATAACTTTTAAAAACAGAATAATATGCTTTGAACTGGCAATAATAGTAGTTCAACTAATTTTATTAATCTTAAAGGAAGTAAAAAATTAAATTATTTTCTTACCATTTTTAGAAATTGAATAAAAAGTATCAAATCTTATGATTTTATAAGTGTTGTCTCCATCAATTGCATAAAATTTTTGTGGTAAACCATCTTCTAATAAAACATCATTAAATTTAACAACATAGAAATTTCTTGTTATTGATTTAAGATGATAAATAGACAGCCCTAAAATAAGCTTTCTATTAATTATATTTCTTTTAGTTTCATTTAAAAGTTCTTTTAAATAAACACGTATTAGTGGGTTGTCTATGTCATCTTGATTCACATATTCAATTTTAATATTAATATCTTTTAAATTAAAATCTCCAACAATCTTATCATTCATCTGATTAAATTTAAGTTTATCAAAATAAGTGAGATTGTCTGTAGGGAGAGTACCAACTAATTTTAAATCATTTACTTGAATTGTACATTTAAAAGTTTTACATTCAATATCTTCATCTTTATAATCCACATAATTTCCTTTACTTACCTTAACATATAAAGCTTTATCACTGATGTAAATATTTTGTTTTATCCTTAAAATTTTCTTATAAAATTCATTTTCTTCTTCAATCATCTTTTCTATTTTTTTAAGATTATTATCAATTATATTTATCAATTCATCTTTAATAAAATCACCTAAATCTACCGAAATATTAAGGTTTTCTTCTTTATTTATCTTAAGTGTTGATAAAACGTGTGAATCAAGAAGATTGAAAGTTCTTTTAAAAATTAACAAAGGTGTTTGACTGGACATTATATATCCTTCAAAGTTCATTTCTTTTTCTAAATTAAGCTGTTCTTTTTCAATTAATATGTCTCTAACTTCATTTCTTTGATGTTCCCACACAACTTTTTCATCTTTAGCTTCAATCGGTTGCTTAACAAAATATTCTTTGAGATTCATTTTATTTAAAATTTTTTTAAAAAAATTAAATAAAATGATAGGAGGCAATACTTTAAGCATTCACAACAAAGCAAATAGAAAGAATAAGCAAAAATTTATATTTTATACTCACTTGAGTAATGAATACAATAAGAACATTTCATTTGAGAAGTTAAGTAAGTTAGCAAAGGTAAGATATAGAATTCTTAAAAACATAGAATCTAATAACTTTGATTTGTGTAAACTTGAAGATAGAGAACATGATATTGCTACCCATTTTGCATTAAAGCTTATTGCAGTTCAAGCTAATTGGTCTCGTAAATGGTTTATAAACCAAGAAGTAAGACTATTTTCTTATAGAATTCGTTATATTGATTATAACGATTTAATTGAACAGGCTAACAGTAAATTCTTTCCTTACTATCACAATGACAACTTAACTAAAATTACTATGAATGCTTATTTTGATCCTGATAACAAACTACCTACATCAACTATATTTAACTACAAGGAAATACATTTTACTAAATGCAGTGAAGTTTTACCTAACAGGGCAGATAGAATATGTGATTTAAATCGTGGGTATATTATCAAAAACTGGAAATCCCTACCTTCTCTTTTAATTACCGAATTTAGAAATTATTTAGATAAATCTATGAATGATTTGTATGAAGTAGTTGTTAATAATTCAGATGAAAGACTTGTTAAGATGAACAGTGAGATATTTGCACTTGATAATTACACTGATAAAAAGACCGTTGGGACCATATCAAATATTGTAAATTCGCCTAATTTACCGCTATGTATTAAGGAGGTTATTGATAAACTTAATACTGTTAAACATTTAAAGTATGATGATAGGTTGGTATTGATAAGATTTCTAAAAGATTTTAATATTCCAGTTGATGATGTGATACAATTTATGAGAAATAAATTACCTACCATGAATGATAAAGAACTGGTTTATGTAATAAGACATTGTTATGGATTAGAAGGTAAGAAAAAGAATTACAATTGTTTTAATTGTGTACAACTATTTAATTTTAAACATAAAACGAATGCAACTGGATGTCCTTTTATTAAAAACAAGTCTTACGTTGAAAGATTTGTTGATATTGAAGACTCGGCTGATTACCAAGGAAACTGTAAAAAACACTTTGCTACTTTATTAAGAAAAGAATTAAAAGAAAATTTAAACAATTTAGAATTGAAAAATGAAGACATTCAAATTAGCTCACCAGTTACATTTTTTAGAAACATCAATGAAATTATAAAAAAAAATAAAAAAGTATAATTTTAATATTCAAATAAAAATTTTATTTAAATGAACATTAAGAAATCGTTAGTTAATAATGAAGAACATTCTTCATTTAAATCTATTTTTCCATTAATTTCAAATAAAATTCTACTTATTTCCTTATCTTTTGATTCTTTACAAACGTGTAGTGCTTTTCTAAAGACATGCTCAATAATAAATTTATAAGGTCTTAAATCTATTGTAGGATCAACCAATATAGTTGATTTAAGATTACTTATTGAAGGTTCAAAATTAAAAATGTATAAATCTCTTAAATCTTCTGCTTTTTTACCCTCTGCTTTACTAAGATTGATATTCTGAGGAAGTTTATGATCTGTGAGAATAGCTTGTTCTAACAAATCTTCAAATATCCCCTCAATCACACTATCATCAAGATATTGAAGTATTTTTAAAAGTTTTTTCTTATCTGTCCCAATAAGTTCAGTAATAATTCTTTCTTTAATTTTATTCTTAATTACATCTTCTTTAACCATTTCAATCAAATTATGCTTAATTATAAATTCAGGAATATAATTCGCATAATCATTATTGTCCTGTAACATTTCAACTAAATTAAGTTTGTAATGATAGAGTGTTAACTTATCAATAATTTTAAACACAAACATGCAAAACACTCTGCAATTCTCCCGGAATGTTTTGTCGGCAAGTTCCCGATCTGGGATTTCAGAATCAACTAAATCTATTGAATAAGACAATACATTTAGCAAGTGAAACTTAGCAACAATATTAAACTCAGATCTTAAGACTAGCTTAAATGCCTTTTGATATGAACCTGCCATTAGAGATGCTAAGAATTCAATACGTGGATTCATGAACACCGACGTATCTATCTTCTTTGTATTATGAAGTAACATGAATAGATAATCTTCTACTGAACTAATAACATATGGTTCATTAACAACATTCCCTTCTAGGAAACCCACCATAACAATTTTAAACTTATCATCTCTTTCATTGCAATTGACTTTCCCAACAGTATTAACACCACTGTTTAAGTACTGAAGAAAGTATGTAGCAAATTCTCCGTTAATCTTATTAAAGAAAGTATTAAACTTTGCAAATAGTCCTTTAATCTCATTATACATACCCAACCTAAATAAAACGTAAATTTCTGCCCATAAATACCTTCCTTCATAAACTGCCATATTAGCAGCAGTTGTTGAGTATTTTAACCTTACATAGTCCTGTACACAGTCAGGATAACTAATATTCTCTTTTTCCTGTTGTGTCTCAAAGAATTTAACCATGTGGCGTTTAAATCCATTTTCTAAGAATTTAATAGGTGGGATTTGGTTTTTAAGGAAAGTAAAACAATCAAATAATAGCTCATCGGAAAAAGAGCTTGCAGATGGTTCTGTAAACAAATCATTCTCAGTTGTATCATCAAAAAATACTTTAAAGTTAAGAAATTCAAATTCACTCTTCTTATTGTTAATAAACTGAATCATAGACTTTTCTACTTGATCTAAAAACGATACTTTCATTTTTGAATATATCTCAATTACTTTCTTGTCCATGTAGCCACGGTGTATTGATTCTGTTGAAAGAATATCTTTCTTCTGGTCAAAGAAACAAGGATATTCAGATACTGTTCCCTCTGAAAATTCAGTATAAGCTTCTTGTTTAATTTTTAATAGTGTTATAAAGTGAGTTATGTTATTTATATCAATTGGTTTATAAACTAATGGCGCTATCTTACGATTATCTCTCTTCATTAATGAGGGTACAAATATTTTTATTAATAAAATTATCAAAACTAATTTACACCTTAATACACTTAAATATTTATCTTAGTAATTAAATTCATTTTATATGTTATTTTTTATTCTCTTAATTTCTTTACTCATTTAATAATATTAAAACAATAAAAAATAAAATTTTTATTTAACCCATCAATAATGATTTTTATTTTTACTATCAGAGCAAATCAAATAGATCAAATATTAGATTTGAATAAAATTGATAATTCATATGATAATAATAATCCAAATAATATTGATTTATACTGTTATTCTGATTTATTAAATAGCAGTGAAATGGATGATACTCCCAGTGATGAAAAATTGATACCTATCATTTCAAATGAGAATAACAATTCATCTATAATTTTTTATGGTTATGAAAATCCAGTTGTCACCCAACCCCTAAAAGAAATAATAACTGAAGAAACTGAACCCTGCAATACAATAGAAACAAATAATAATGGTGTTATTAGTCTTTTTTGTTCTGATAATGAAAATTATGAATTAGTTGAAAATTCCAATACTAAATAAATATTAATTATTAACAGAAATTTATATTAAGAATTTAAATCAGTTTTTGATCTTTATAAAAAAATTTTTAATTGCTTCTATAACTAAAATCATTAATTCATAATATAAAGTTTAAACTTCATAAATAGCAGAAATATTCTAATAACTAAATCAACTTTCATTAATAATTCTTTTGTTCTCAACCTAAAAACAATTATAAAGAATAATATTTTAATTCATAAACATTTGATAGGTTTTTTAGTTTATTTAAATTTTTATCAGAATAATTTCTATTATTAAAATGAAGATTTAACAATAAAAATACTCTTAATTCATTATAAAGAAGTTTAGAAAGGATTTCTGTTTAATTAAAAATAACCACTTTAAAATTTATTTAAAATTTCTCAGGATGCTCTAATTTAGTATTAGAACTATCAAATAATTCTAAAGACTTTAAATTCTCTCTGTTCTTAATTTCAACTAAATCTTTATTGTTGTTTATTAACAATTGTTTAAGGTTGATTGGAAGTAAATTAAAATCAATTGTTTTTAGTTTGTTGTACTGCAAATCTAAAGTGTGTAAATTTTCATACTCACTAAGATCAATATTAAAATCGGTTATCTTATTAGCTCCCAAGTAAATTTCTTTAATGTTTTTAGATATCAATGAAAGATTTTTAATGTCTGTTATTCTATTAGCAGCAATATCAAATTTTTCTAATCTCGTATGAAATGCAATACTCTCAGAAATTGATAAAATATCATTTGCCATGAGATAAAGCTCTTTCAATGATTTATTTTTAATGTCATCATGATTCTGTAACAAATTGTATCCCAAATCAAGTATTAGTATATTCTTGAACTTGTCTGTTACTACGTTCTTTATTAGATTATCTGAAATATCTAAACATTCGACATTTTCATGGATTGCCGCTGGAATTTCTTTCAACTGTAACTTTTTAGAATCAACTGCTTTTATTTTGGGATTTATTTTAAGTTTATCACTAACCATTCTTATCTTAAAGTAAATTTCATCCTCTTGATAGTTTTCCATTCAGTAAATATTTTTAATTAAAATTTTATTAACACCTGTCTCTCTTTCTTGGTTGATGTTTAATTACACCATCACATTTAAGTATTGATTGAGCAGTCTCACAAGCAGCTTTAAGTACTCTCATTTTCATGTCAAATCCCTCAATTACACCCAAATCCTTCATACAGCCTGGTTGCCCATTCTCAATATTTAAACCTTTTGTAAATGAACTCTTATAATGTTCTTTTACTGTTTCATAATTAGCCCTCATTACTGTGCTAAACTTACTGCCTTCATATCCTGAATTCTCTGTTAATACCTCAGTAAATTCTCTAAAAGCATTAGATAAAATTCTCAAACCTTCAGCTTTAATCGTCTTGTTTAAATTTGCTTGTTTGTTAAGTTCAGATGATAAAATTGATTCTACATTACCTCCACCATATAAACAGAATGGGTTTTTCTTAATTTTCTTAAGAACACATAAAGCATCATGAATTGAACGTTCTGCTTCATCCAACATAACTGGTGATGAACCTGCTAATATAATTGTACTTGCACCATTCTTCACACCTGTAAATTTAGTAAAATATTTATTTTTAAGTTGAATCGTCTCAACTTTACCACATTTACCTAACACTGAATTTACTTCTTCATTACCTTCAATTTTATTAAAATGACTTAATAAAACTCCTCCAGAAATCTTCTCCAATCTCTCAATATTTTCAAAACCGACATTCTCAATAACTGTTTTCCCTTTTTCAACTAACAACTGCATTGGAAAATCATAAATTAACTGACGGTTGATTATCAAATCAAAATCATGCTGTGTAATTAAATCAATCTTTTCTGCCATTCTTTTCTTTTCGGCATTTTCAATATCTTCTAATTCACTTATTGAATTTACTTGAATCTTACTTGATGTAATTTTTATTTTATCATAATCAAGGTGTGTATTAACTAACAATATTTTAGGTTCTTTTAAAACTTTACCAATTTCATTTGAATTTAATTCTTTATCAATTACTAGTCCTTCAACCCAGGAACTTTCATGTAGTTCTCCATCAATTTTTACTATATTTATTAAACTCAAATCACATGATTTATCTAAATTATTAACAGCATTCATACAAATATCTACAAACTGATCAAGATAAGAATTAAGAACTTTTGAATTTAAAGTAGTTTTAACTAAATTCTTTACATCATTGTTTTTAGCTTCAAACTTAATTATATTCAACACATTTTCTACTGTCTTAACACCAAGACTTATTCCCCTGATTATACTCAAAACATGCACTTTACTCTTAAATGCATGTCTTAATATCAATAATGCTAATACTGCAATACTAGTTGTGCCATCACCTTCCTCAAAGTCTTGTGATTTAGAAGAATCTATAATCATTTTAGCACTTGGACTGTCAATAAGTAGATTTTGTAAAATTGTTGCACCATCATTTGTAACTATGTTGTCTCTACCTTTGAGTATTTTAAGTGCACCGTGAGGACCAAGTGTTGTTTTTAGTATGTTAAATAGAACATTCACCCCCTTTTCAATTACTTCAGTGGCTTCGTCGTTAAAATACTCTTCAGTATCACCTCCTTTTGTCATATACATCCCAATATTTTTGTCCATTTTATGGGTTCTAGAAATTAAAATTTTAAATTATTTAATTAACTAATTATAATGATTATATAATTTATTTATAAGGTTCATTAGTGTAGTGGTTATCATATTGGACTTTGAATCCAGTGACCCGAGTTCGAATCTCGGATGGACCATTTATTAAAATATTTTTAAATTTTATTTACTTACTACCAGGTTGGTTTTTACAAAGGTTCTTTGTTCCCTCAAAATAATTGCCTGTTTTAAATCCCATCATAGACATAAAGTAATTTGCATTGATTCTTTTTTCATTTTCTTTATCAAAATTTATCTTTGTAAAATCACTGCTCTGGATTTTGTTATCAAATGACATGAGAAATTTTTAATTAAAAATAATAAATAAATATTTTAAATGAAGTTTATTTAAGCTAATGAACAGCTAACATATGTAATTCTAATCTTTCTTAATGCATACACTACATCAACTACGTTAACAGTCTTTCTCTTTGAGTAGCTACAATAGATTCTTGAATAATAAAGAACATTCTTTAACATGTATATAAGAAGTTCTCTTGAAAGCTTAAGGGCAGCACCAGAAATTCTAGTGGCTCCAGCTCTTCTAGACAATCTTCTTAGACCAGGCTTACTAATTTCATTATATGAGTTTGGCTTCCTAAATCTCTTGGCTGCTCCCTTTGCAGATTTTGCTACTTTACCTTTTCCTCCTACTGGCTGTGGTGCTTGCTGTGTTGTCATTTATTGGGGTTAGAAAAACATTTTTTATTTAAAACAAAAAAGGAGGTAAATCAAAATAAAGAGGGAAATCAAAATAAAGAGGGAAAATAACTCAAGTAAATCAAAAATACTTTTTTTCAAAAATT